ACAAAAAACATCCAGTATTTTTAAGAACGAAAATTTTGAAGATCATATAATCAATTATGGTTGGTTAATTTTATATAATTATTTCGGTTGGTTAATAAACATATAAATAATTTTTTTTATATATTAAACGCCAAATTTTCAAATGTATATAAACTTCAAAGTATTATAACTCAAGAACAAATTAGTTTTGCAAAAATCCCTCTTACGATTTGTTGATTTTATTCAAACTACAACACTGCTAAAATAAATTTTTACTTGTTAAAAAAGGTATAACACTTTTTATATTTTATACATATATAAATATGGGTTGATATATTTGGAACAATGGTTATTATAACCATATTTTATAAATTTTATAATAACTTAAATTTTTACTAAGGTAACCCGTAACCCCTGTCATGTAACATAAACAAAAATGTTTCTCTTGCAATTTTACCTTACCCTAAACCTAACCCTAGTTTTATCGTAACCCAACCCTAATTTTAAATATAGGATTTCTATTAAAAATTTTATTTTAATAGTAATATTTAGGTATGGATACAGTAATCATGGCTACAAATATATTGTTTCTGTTGGTACTTACAGTATAAACTTATAGACAAAAACTTTAAAACGTTCAATTGCTTTTTTGCTGCCAATACTAAAAATACTATCTAATTTTCATTAATACAAAATAAATGTTCTATTTTTACTCAGGTTAAAGTTACCTGATAAGTAATCTATCTATATAATCTAATTCAGAGTTTTACATTTTAGCAGTTCTGATTGGTTACCGTTAGGCCATCTTTGGTTGATTTTTAGGTTAACGTCATCCCCCTTCGCTTAACTGCCTCCCCCAGAAATTAAACAAGCCAATCACAACGCAGCATAAACTTCATTAATCATGTGACCAATGAGATTTAATCAAAAATTCTTGAGACTATATGGGGGCTTTTCAATAGAAAGGGGAGAGATTTCTTCTAAGTAAAAGTTTTTTAAACTTTCAATTAAAATATCTCAATAACTATTAAACTAAATTTAATAATTTTTTTTATTTTAATTCTATAAAATTATAAAATTAAAAAAATAAATTTTTATTAAAGTAAATTTAGTAGTTATTAAGATATTTTAATTTAGAATTTAAAAAAAAGTTACTAAAAACTTTTTCCCCCTTTTCTATTGAAAAGTGCCCATATATACTGTATGGCTATATTCACCGGACCTTTCTACCAGTGCAGTATCTTATCTTTAATTCCGCAGTATCGACTAGTAAATAACACATAGAAAGATAATTCAACAAGAGTATTTGGGCATAGGGGAGTTATTTACTTTTCCAAGTTTGTACACAATTTTTGATTGTGATCATAAATCACGCAACAATTTAGTCAAACAATAACGATAACAAGAAAAGATGAATAAGTCCATAATAGATATGTGTGTACGTACGTACTAACGCAGGTGTTATGTATAGCAACAGCGACGGAAAATATGAGTATAAATGGTGAAATAAATTTTGAAGAATTTAGACCAAATGTATGGAGAAGACGTAGATAAACAGGGATACAAAAGGAGTTGCATATAATGATGGAACAGAAACGTAAATGTATATATCTTATACATAGTAAACAGGAATCGTTTCAAGTAGGGTCTGGAATGGGCGGGTTTGGGCGGGCATGAATAGAGCACATACTTAAACCCAAAAATATTTATAAACCCAAGTTCGGCCCAAAAAAATAGACCCGAAGAATAGGTCCGATTGGGTTTAATTTAAAATTAAGCCCGGCCCAAAACCGGTCCAAACAGGCCCGCTTATTTATATAGGGACTTTGCAGTAGAAAGGGCATAAATGCTATATATAATATATATAGCATTTAGGCTGCAAAAACCCTATATATAAAATCTTAGCTCAAAAATAGTCAACTCATAACTTGGATAACTGATGATTCGAATTAGATATTCTCCACTAGCACCAAGGCAAACCAACCGAAACCGACTCCGCCAGGAGTCTAGACGCTTTTGCAGTAACGTGATGTGGCGTATCGTGGCACATTCGGATAAGCTTTATGTTAGGGTTCGTTTTGAAAGATCATTCCTATATGTAAAATTACGCTCCCGACATTTCTTGTTAGTGACCAAAGGCCGATTTTAACACTAGTTTTTGAGTATTTTCGCTTTTTTCTCTTTTTTTCTTCTTGCGCACGTGTTTGTTTTGACGTCGGGCTGATCGGGACGATCAAAATTTACGCATCCCGATTGGCCATTTCTCATGCGCCACATCACGTTACTGTAAAAGTGTCTAGACTCCTGGTGGGTTCATTTTTACAAGGATTTTACTGGAAAGCCCAAGCCCAGTGCGGGCCCAACCCAAGCCCGACCCACAAAATATTGGGCTTGAAAATTATGGCCAAGAAACCGGCCGGCCCATTCCGGATCCTAGTTTCAAATTAAGGGCAATTGAGGTAATTGATAGGATGCATTTTGGTATGAATTTCACGTACCACGTATGAAAATTGGGAGATATGAAGATTATCCTACACTACGTTTGTGTTTCTAATTACACATCCCTACATAGAACTTCATTAAATCAACTTTGATAAATTTCATAAGTCCACCATTGACATGAGTAATGGGTATATGTACACACACTAGTAACAAAAGGTATAATCTGTGCAGATCTTTCCTTAATACTAATCTCGAAAAAGCTACAAGTCAAGCTACATAACGATAAATGATTATGTTTAACCTGATTAGGGAGAAGGAAGAGGAGTTAAAGCCTTTATTTGTTAATACTAATATTAGTATAATTACATGGTGTACTAAATTGTGCGCATTTATTCTAGATCATTAAATCAACATTACATATGAATGAGTTTCATGTCAATTAATCTTCTCGTTTTCCTCTTGCGATAAAATTCGAAATAAATAGTGATAACATTTTTAATTTCTTATACCATACAATGTATGAATTTTCTTATCCTATCATAATTATAATTTTGCTTATCTGCTTCATCATATTATTTCTAGCACAGAGAAAAAACCCGGAAGTAAATATATCATTCATTTCCTATCCGTATTTTTCAAATTTGTCGAAAAATAGCCACTAATGATTGTTGGCTCATAATTAATATTAGAAAAGTCATTTTCTAATATTCCAGGTCATATGTTTTACTATTGATTTTGGTTTGGACATAACATTTCTGCTGAGAAATAGTCGTGATGTTCGGGCACTTTACATACCTAGGTAATTACGATCTTGCAACATAAAATTCTAATTTTCAAATCTCAACCTAATAAGTGATTCATCTTTAATATTTTTGTAGCATGATATTTTTCATCGTGCCAATAGTCGTAAGAATGTTATTTACGATATGTATCATTTGCCGAGAAATCATCAAAAATACAGAATTTTACGAATGGTTTACAAAACACTCAATAAATGCCGTAATCGTTTCACTTTTATCACTTGTCCACATTGAATGTTTAAGATTACTTGATGCGAAGGCCGCTGAATCTGATAATTTGAATGCACCATTTTCCAAAGTGGCAAAGGGATTCATTCTTTGGGGTGTTATCTGTTTTTCTTTTATATGTGACATACCTCAATTAGTTATTCAGGTATACTTTTTAAATTAATTATATTTTTATTTCAAGCATTATTGTGCTAATCACAATATTTATTTTTTGCCCTTAATAGATTATTTATCGATCTAGTGTCATAAATTATGATATAATTCCATTTCTTACGTTAATAATGGGTGTTATAACAATTTCTCAGAACGTAATGATTTTAATTTTCGATTTGATAAATGTTTTGAAGAACAAAAATTTAAAATTAGAAAGCGGAAAGACTCGTAGCGTCGGCAACGGATCATCTAATATCCAACAACGACCTGATATTAATATTCATAGATGCTCTATAAAAATGGGTTCTATTGAAGATGAAATAGAATCTTACGGTGATGATGAATTAAGAAGAGTAAAAAGTTGTAATAACAATGTAGTTAAGCATTATGCTGAATCAAGAGAAAGAAGAACAAAAAGTTGGGATCAATTAATTAGAACTAGTAGAGAGCTTAATAAAGAACAAGATTGTGCAGTCATCAAGAAGATTGAAAAAGAGAAAAGGATCAGTATTATCGAAAATAAGAACACATTTGTAGAAGAAAAAGGAATTATTATTACTCTTGGAAATGTTGATGGATCTGAAAATAGTATTATTAAAGATGATAATACGTGTACCAGCATCACGGTCGAAGGAAATACAAAAAGAAATAACAGTTAATATAAATATTAAATACAATAGTAATTTTTTATTAAGTAAAAACATTATATTTTTAAACAAAACTGGTTCAGAGACTATTTCTTAGGGAAAATCTATCAGAACTAATCTAAACAAACCAGCCCGGTAAATATTAAATTTCATCTTGTTCATGGTTTTCACTGGGAAACTTGTTAAAAAAAAAGGTATATTCTTGGATTCGGGTTTCACTAGTTATCTAAACACTAGCCCTGAAGAAAAAAAAGGAATTCATCTTTCCCCATTAACCCACAGAATTAATTAATGAAATTAATTCCGTGAAATAATTAGTCAAAGTTTGACTGTTTAAATGCCTTGGCGCCTTATGTGCAGTATATACTGTACATCCAGACCTCTTTAAATGGGACACCTAAATACAGTGACTCCCTAAACACAAACTCTGACCCAAATATAATACACTAGACCCTTCATAAATGCAATTTTTCTTATTGTTCTCTAAATGCAGGTTATCCCTGAGTTGCATTTAGGGAGGTCTGACTGTAGTAATGTTAATAGTCACTTTAGATTATTTGATACTTTACTGCATAATAATTTGGGGAGCCAATAATAAAAATATTTTAAATTTTTACGTAAGTCAAATATATATGTATGTTGCATCCTAAATGATGAAATAAAAAAAGCCATCTGTTTCATTTTGGGTTTAGCATAATTCTAGAATAGTCCTAGAATTTCGAGAAAATGAAAAAGAAAACTTTTATATCATTATAAAGTATTAGCTAACTACGAAATTTGCGATTATTGTATATCGATATCTGATATCATACATATATATCGATATCTGATATAAAAACTGTAAAATGAATAAATAATATTTAATAAATCAGATGATTCTAATATGCACAATCTTTTGAAAACGAGAAATTATTCCTGTATTCATAAATATTGAAAGATTAATAATGAAAAAAATACCGTAATTGTTATTTAAGAGTTTTAAGATAACGGCTTGATCATTGTTATCGTAAGAATCTTTATATGTAGAATCATCAAGAACCTATCCGTATTTATACCGATCTTCGAAAATGTTATGCAGAATAATAGTACGTGCATCAATGTATGATCTCCTGTCTGATTAAATGTCAGAATGTATGCGGTTCTTTTTTATCTTGTCGTACGTACGTATTTCCCCGATCCTTTAGGTTTTAACTTTCGTCATCGCTTACAAAATTTAAAATGAATAAATTTATTGCATCACATGTCAATCCTTTCCGACTGTCTTCTGATTGTCTTGACCTAATTTTTTTACATTTTAAAAATGACAAAACATCTCTTTATTCCTTTATTCTGGTAAATCGTCATTTTTGCCGACTCGTTATTCCATTGCTTTGGAGTCATCCATTTGAATGTGTGAGCAAAGAGAAAGCTCCTCTGATCATTCAAACTTACATTTCTTGTCTTTCTGATATCGAAAAAGAGCAATTGATTGCTGAAGACATCATATTTGCTAATTCTTCTCGTCCGTTATTTAATTATCCAAAATATTTGCAAAGTTATGAATCTCATCAAATTCGATTGGCTATAGAGAGATGGCTTCGGTCTCTTAGATCTAATACTAGAAATTTGGGCGAAAAAACACGTTTCACTTATCAACTTTTAGGAAATTTCATCTTTAGTAATTGTTATAATCTTAGAGAATTAACCTATCATTGGAACGAAGAGTTTAACACCATCAATTTATTGGACATTACGTCGTTCTCTGGTTTTCGACATGCCATTGGTTCTCTTAGAACGTTCAAGTTTGAATATTGTTGCCTTCCTACTCAAATAACCGGAAATTTATTTGTTGCTATATCTCAATGTACTCGTAATATTCATCATCTCTCGATTAATACTGAAAGCGATTTACGTACTGAAATCACAAAAGCGATATTACAATTTATACAATCTCAATCAAACATCAAAATCCTTTCGATTAACATGTATTCTGATGAAGATACAAAAACAAAAGCACTATATAAAGCGATCCAATTTCATTCTCATTCCCTAACTCATCTCAAGTTGGATGGTGTAAATGAATTTAATCAATTGTTGAAATTATTGATGAAATGTAAAAATTTACAAACTTTGGAATTAAGAGGATTTGATCCTGAAGATATTCCTGATCTTTTTGATTTACCGATAACTTTTATTAATATTCGAGATCTTTATTGCATGCCATGCATGCCTCTCAGACATGATATTAGTCCAACAAGTCAAATACATATAATTTCTCTTATTCAACTCCTAAAGATGAGCAATCAAAATCTTAAAACTTTTACTTTTCTGTCTAATGTCACACCTGAACTAATGAAAGCCATTGAACGTCATTGTCCAAATCTTACGCATTTATCTATAGCTATATTAAGTGAACATTTTATAGATTTCTATTCTTTACTTTCAGGACTACCAAAACTTGAAACTCTCTCTTTAAAAATTTATCCTGAAACTTTAGTATCTTCAATTTTTTCAATTCAAGATTTTACAGATTCTATTCCACCAACATTAAAAAGTTTTGGCATTAATTTTCATATTCCTGTGGAAACTTTGGAAACCTTATTATCAAAGTTACAACGATGTAGTGCAAAGATCTCGATGTTAACTTTTTATAGTAGTCTTATGGTTACGGATGAATATTTAAGAATAATCACTCGCTACGCTCAAGATTGTGGTGGCCATTTTCGTGAATTTAGATATGTTACCTCAAGGCAATTTGGTTCGGAGTCATTTTCATCAGAAGAATTAAAAAAAGCAAAAGGTTCAATTCCTATAGTTGGTGTCGCGGAATCTTTTTATACACCTTTTTATGGTAAGAATTATAACCTTTTACTTTAAATTGTCAGCATTCTGCATTGTTCATGCATATTTACGTATATTTGATACGCAAATATATTGGATAATAGGCAGTTTTGATAATAATGATATATGAATCTTGCGAAAAAGAACGAATTGTGATTTTACATTATATAGAAAAATTTAGGCATTCGAAATAGAATTTTTTTTGTAGAAATTTTTATAGAAAATATCAGATTATATATATGCCGTTATTATTTTACTGTCTTCATTCATCCCACTTTTTGATTCCATTCGGGAAGTTATTTTTAAATAACGTTTGAAGACTTATTAGTAATTACTTATTGATTATTGATTTTTTTTTACTGAATTTATAAAACACGAGCTCGATGAAAGCAAATAAATGCATTATAAATAAAAATTTTTTTTGATATCCAGATATTATAGATTTTTAGTAGGGTTCATATCAATGTTTTAGTAGGGTTCATATCAATGTTCTTAAGTCACCGAGTTTGCAAAGTGACGTAATTTGTGATTTAAACACAAACTATTCCAATGCTTTTTTTCGTGATTGGATAATCTTATGAATTGACGGTTGATTCAATTTAATATCATATGATTATAAATCAACCAATACGTAAAAAAAAACACTATTAGTTTACATATCGATATTGTAAGATTGATTGGTTAACATGATAAAATCATGTTTCTAGTAAAATAATTATACAGGCAAAAAATGGGTCAGCGATTTTTACTTTGCAAGGTTCTACAAAAAAAGCCTGTAGAAAAATAATTTGTAGTCTTGACTACCTATGGCTTCAACGGTTAGAGTGGTGAATTACTAATACCAGGTTACAAATTAATTTTGCAGAACCAATTTATATACTTGATTTGTGAATCAAAATTTTAAATTTATTAATTATCTGCAAGGATATTTAGGAAATAGCAAAACATTTTAATCACCTGAAGAGGATTAATTCTGATATATTTTTTAGATAAAAAGTTTTGTTTATTTTTTTTTGGTATTAAAATACCCTTTTTTAATTGGATAGTATTTTCGCGTAATAACGATCATCTGCGCGTTATTTAGAGTACGCGCATGAGTGTTATTTTAAAATTTTTAAATTTTTTTTATATAAAACAAAAAACACTCCGGAACTAGGTTTGGTACTAAGCAAACCTACTTTCAAGCTTCAATAAAGTTGTTCTTCAGATTGGGACAATTCTAATGGTAGTAAAATCATTAAAATCGGTCCAATAATTCTCCTGTAATAGCTCTTCAAAATTTTATTTATATGATATGGTCTTTTATATAGGTTTATAAGAATACAACTAGCCAACTCAGATTTCACCCAACGTGATGATTAAACGCGGGTAGTATCTTAAAGTTATATATAAGTATAGGCTAAATCGCAAACTTCTTTTATAAATGTCATTTAATTTAACGCATGTTGAACTTATCACTAAATAATTTATATCACAGCACATTTCGTTTATGTAATTCGAAGCCATCGAACTTAATTAGCCACAGCAATGCAAATTTATACTGAAAAATTATAAAATACATATTTACCTAACTTAATTAATTAGTGTTTCGATTCGTAATCCGACTAAATCGGATAGATCTGATAATTCGGATTAAATACGGATATCCGTATCTATTAATTTTGGACGGATAGATCCGTAATTTATATATTGGATTAAGGATTAGGAGTGTCCGACTCATATTGATATTTCTAATTATCATAATAGGATTTTTGCTAGTGTTTCGATCAGGTCCAATGATTCATATTGACCCGATGCATAACAGGATTATCTGGGTCATAATCGCACGTTTGAAATATGTCAGACTAATGAAATTTAAGTTTCAAATTTAGAATACATAACTGATAAGCTTATATAATTTTTTAATTAATGCTTGTATTTTTTTGTTTTTACAACGTTGATAGCTTATATTTTTTAGTTCTATATAACACGTTCGAATCATCAGATCTAATATATATATAAGCTATTCACATTTATTTGTGTTATAGTAAAGTTAAATAATAAGACGATGAATATAATTAATCATGTAATTTAAAGATTTTCATGGTAGTATCACTTAAATATAAAGCAGTTCTATAGTAAGGCCTTGGTTTTTTTAATACCGTAAAATCTCGAAATAGTGGGCATCTGCGACTATCTGTGCGAACAGGAGGAAACGTACCGATCCAAAGTGAATCCCACACATGGTGTGATCAATTGCGATAAATTAAAACTGAAATTATTTATATTAGTTTTAA